GAAGTGGGCGTTGTTCCACCAAAGCTTATGCTCTAATAAATTTGTTAGTCTCTAAGGTGCCACAAGTACTCCTGTTCTTTTTGCGGATACAGACTAACACGGCTGCTACTCTGAAACCTGTGAGGTGATAAGTGTTCTCAAGGAGGAAAAGGCCTTACCATTGATAGACAATGCAGGATCTGGAAGAGTGTGGGCTAGTAGTTAGCACATGCAATGCTCAGCGAGGGCTCCTGGGTTCTGTTCCTAGCTCTGCCATTGATGTTCTGAGTAAGTCGCATAACCTCTGAGCCTTGATCATAGAATATCAGAGTTGGAAGGGACCTCAGGAGGTCACCTAGTCCAACCCCTGCTCAAAGCAGGGCGAATCTCCAGACAGATTTTTGCCCCTGATCCCTAAATGGCCCCCTCAAGGATAGAGCTCACAATCCTGGGTTTAGCAGGCCAATGCTCAAACCACTGAACTATCCCTCCCGCTCTTTGATCTAGACTACAAAGTTTTGCCAGCATAGCTGTGTCAGCCAAGAGTGTGGGGAAAAAATCGCACATACCCAACTGTGATAGCTATACCGGCAAACGTCCTGGTGACAACGGAATGCTGCTGAAAACATCATTTATGTTGTTCGGGGGAGTAGTTTAACTATGCTGGCAAAAAAATTCCTTTTGCTGGGATAAGCTGTGTCTTGTCTTGGGGGCTCGGACAGTCTATCCATGCCAATACAGCAGTTGTATAGCATTTGGAGTGTAGACAAGCCCTCAGCAAAAGTGGGGATAATGACACTTCTCTGTTTCACAGGGGGCTTGTGATCATTTTGACTCATCTACATGGGGGCCTCCAGGAAATTGACCTAAACTGTGAATTTGAAGTGGATTAGTTAAACCGCATTAAACCCCCGTGTGAACAACCTCATTCAGAATTAATGTGGCCTTAATTTGTTTTAGTTAATTTTTTTAATGGGGTTTAATGCGGTTTAACTAATTCACTTCAAATTCACACCTTTAGTTAATTCGGATTAATGTTTCTGGATGTCTCCGGGTAGAAAAACCTTTAGTTAATATTTGCAAAATGCTTTGAAATCTGTCAGTGAAGTCCTCGGACAGGGTATATGTATATCAGGATAGGAGGAAATGGTCTGAACCCAGCACTGCCAGGCCTGACTTTCGACTCTTCCCAAGAATCAGCATCCGAGAAGGCAATGTCTTAATGCTGGCATGGCCAGAGCTGCTCTATCCTGGTACAAATCACATCTGTAGGGCTGTCCAGGATTGGGGGAATGGAAGAAGGAGGAAGGACATCTAACATCCTGGGGGCAGAAAGCATGAGATGAAGAGCCCACAACTTGGCCAACAGCTGTAGATCCATCTGAACAAGCAGCAGTGTTTAACAAAGGATGAGCCCAATGCTTTGTGCCCTAAGCACCATCCCAGCCAGGTGAAAGCTCCCATGAGCAAATCCACACCAGCAGTTCCCTTACGACTGGGTCACTTCCCAGCCCCACCCAGCGTGTTTTGCTCCCTGTACATGCCTGGCACCCTCATACTCATTTCTGGCAGACCTCTGCTCTGCTTGAGTTGGGAGCATTGTGTATGGCCGGTATAATCTCCCCCACTCCTGTAGTCTGCATGGTACGGCGGGCAGGCAGAGGTTGTGAGGGTAAACCCAGTGCCAACACCGGATGCACCTAGTGCATTCAGATGTATTAGTGTGTGGGATGGATGCCTTTTCTCTCCCAGGAAAGATGAGTTCCAAAGGGGTGGGGTTCCCTTTTTACTCCATGTTAAGACGAGGCATCAAATGATTGCTCTGACGGGACCCAGGCGCCTCTGGGCTTCTTGCCCATGAGGTCATGTTTTCCTGTGACTTCCTCTTCTTTACAAGCAACTGAACGGAAGAGTGTTGTTCTCAGAGCACGTCTCAGAGCCGACTTGTTTTCAGTTTCACTTCCCCATCCTCCCTTTGTCATTGGGAACAGGTTCTGGGCACTGGTGGTCCGGTGAGAGTCCTGCTAGAATCTTTCATTTTCACGTATGGTTCTTTCCACCGCATGGTCACCTCCTGAAGATGTTCGGGAGAGAAGCTCTCTCTTTTTCAACCTGTTTTGTGCAGTCTTTGGCCACGCTTTTCCTGTCGCAGTTAATGGCCAGCAGCCTCAACCCCTGTGTGGAGGTACGTGATCTCTAAATAACCAAATCCTTTTGTTTCTCAAGAGCAGCTTTCCCCAGCCTGTGAAATTTGTCTCTCTGATGTGCTGGGTGCTCATCTTCCTGTGGGGTGTATTGTCTTTTGCCAGCAGTATTCCGCAGCTTTGCAGAAAGCATACGCCACCATGGAAACCAGCTCCCAGCACAGAAAAAGTGGCTTTGACCTATTGTAGCTTTGTTTCCCTTTGCTTGGTATTGCTAAGGTGCAGTTATTAACCCCAGGAGAAGCCAATGGATCCCATTCTCCTACAGCAATAGACTCAGGCCATGCCTACGCTACAAAATTAAGTCGACCTAACTTACATCAGCATACAGCTGCTGTAGTAATTACATTGCTTGTGCGTGTTTGCTCTTTATTCCCTGTGTCGGCGGTGCGAGTCCTCACCAGGAGCACTTGTATCGATTGTACAGTCAGCGTGGGGCGTTGTGGAAGGGCTGCTGAAAGCCAGTAACAGTCGACATAAGCAACGCGGTGTCTACCCTGATGCTGCGTCGACCCAACTACATCAACCTTGATTTGACGCTGCTCGCAGAAGTGGAGTTATTAAGTCGGCGTAGCAGTGCAGGTGTGCTGGTGGGAGTGAAATTTAAGGGTGAACACTTCCATAGTTAGGTTGACATAAGCTGTCTTGGGTTGACCTAACTCTGCAGTGCAGACCAGACCTCAGACCCTGTGGTATTACTACTGCAAGCTGTGATATTTTAGGCTGTTACTGTAATATGTCGCAGAGTTGTTTTTGCAGCCACTGGTCAGCAATTTGATGCTGAGTTCGTTGTTTCCAGACATCACCGTTATAAATAAACGAGCTTTATAAGAAATAAAGTTAAATATTCTGTAAGAATTAAGTTTAATGCTGATTTAGGATTATTACTGTCTGAGAGTATATCTGTTCCCTGGTGTATTACCAACGTCACATAGAATCTGGTCTTTAAAAGCTCTGGTCCAGATTTGCCTCTGATATAAATAGGCACAATTCAGAGGACTTGCACCTGGTTACACTTGCAGTTATATTGGTTATTGGTTTGGGAAGCAGAAATGCTATTACAAGAATAGATGCAGATGCTTGGACTGTACATGATGTTGCTTCCGGTTGCTCAGTGCGGCCCAGAGGATCTGTCTGTTACAGAGATATTTAGCCTGCAAGCTATAGCTTTCTGATGGTTTAACTTTCCGGCACTTTGTGGAATCTAGATGTTGATCTGTGGATTGGCTCTGTGAATATTGCAGGAGACCACCAACATAACTTACAGATGCATGGAGTTGAACCTCTCTGGAGTTCCAGATGAAATCCCACCTTCCACCCAGAACTTGGATCTGAGTTTCAACCCACTGGAGTCACTGACCTCAAATTATTTCTCAGCAGTTCCTGCACTGAGGTTTCTGGACCTCACTAGGTATGGAACCTTTCACATTGATGTTGTCCTACTGGATGCAGACAGGGCTTTTGATTCACATTGATTGATCCTGTTTCCGACTCACCAGTGCACTGACATAGGGAAAGGCACTGTTATTTTTGCTCTTGTGTCTGTGTGGCTCAAAGGGTGGTTCTGGCTAAAAAGAGTTCTAATCCTGCACCATAATTGAGGCTCATGCCCAGTGCTATCACAATGATGCTGTTCTAAGGTGCAGCTCCTGCACTTCATTTCACTGGTGTGTGCCCAGGCAGAAGCTCTGAAAAGTTGATTGTGCAGAGGGTAGCACCTTCTTACTAAAAGGATCTGCTCCCTGGGTGCGTTCTGCTTTACTACTTCTGTTAGACTGTCAGAGACAACTCCGCTAAGAGACAATGGGCTGGAGTCCATTTCTTCTCGTGCATCAGCAGCAGAGTTGTTTCCTGAGTTCCAGTCAGCGACCCCTTGTTTTGACAGCACATGGGCAGTAAAGCAGTTGCACGGGCGTCACTGAGGACATAATCTGGAGGCGATGGGGTGTCACAGAAGTAAGTGAAGCCCATATTTGTCTTACACAACCTGCATTATGTTGTGCACAAGATAGATAGTACCCAGTGCAAGTTTCATGTGGCGTTTGGTGGGCTGCAGGTGAAGAAATAGGCATCTTTTTAGTGGTAAATAGGGCATGTTTGAGCCTGGAGATCACCTAGAGACAGTAAATGTGGAGACCCAGTGACACCACTCCTACAGAGCTGAACTGCACTTTAAAGATTCAGTGGGAGTGGTGAATTATATTAATAATAATAATGATTTCTATTATTTACATAAAGGCATTGGTACCTGTGGCACTCTCCAGACACATCACAAGAAAAGCTCCCCACCCCACAGAGCTTGCGCGGTAATTAAGACCATGTACTTACTGGCACATCTCCGCTGATGATGGAATTCTCTCCAGCTCCGATGGCCCATTTCAGACCCTACACCCGCTAGAGGCTCACATGAGATCTGAGCTGTAGTTTTAAGTGCTGCCTTTGGCCTCACATGAGGGAGGGTGGTGAAGCACTGGAATGCGTTCCCTAGGGAGGTGGTGGAGTCTCCTTCCTTGGAGGTTTTTAATGCCCGGCTTGACAAAGCCCTGGCTGGGATGATTTAGTTGGGAATTGGTCCTGCTTTGAGCAGGGGGTTGGACTAGATGACCTCTTGAGGTCCCTTCCAACCCTGATATTCTATGATTCTATGATACCGGTTCTGGGATTAACTCCGCTCTGAGCATAAGAGAAATCCGACACCGGGGCTGAGCAATTGCTGAATGCTGCTGTGCTTGTCGAGGATATTCCCTTTTAAGTTCAGATAGCTGCTTACGGGGCCTGTCCACAGGTGCTGGAACTAGGGGTGCTGGGGGGTTTAAATAGGGTTTACAGTTTGGTTCAATGGCTCTCAGCACTCCCACTACAAAAAATTGTTCCTGTGCCCGTCTCCCTCCAGCCCAATGAGTTGTTTCAGGGCTGATCTACGCTGATAACATACCTGGGCATTGCTACGTCTCTCAGGGGAGTGGAAAATCCACCCCTCTGCGAAACAGAAATGCCAGCTGACCCCCGGGGTAGGTCAACGGAAAAATTCTTCCATCAGCCCAGGGCTTCTCTCCTCTTGAGCTCGCCTGCAGCACAGGCGCGTCAATGCAGCAGTTCAAGTGTAGACACTGTCTGTGCCAATGGGAGGGGTTCTCCCGTCGGCGTAATTAATCCACTTCCCCAAGAGGCGGTAGCTATGTCAACGGGAGAATTCTTCCATCGACCTACCGCTGTCTGAGGTCAGCTGAACTACGGCGCTCGGGGGTGGATGGTTCCCACCCCTGAGTGACGTAGCTGGGTCAGTCCAATGTAGACCAGTCCATAGCTACTGCCACCCGGTGAGGCGTATGAACTACAGCGACAGGAAAACCCCTCCCGTTTGTAGTGAGTGTCTACACTGGAGCGCAGGAGCATTTTAAGTATAGACCGAGCCGCAGCATGAAGGTTTTGAGGTTCAGGGTAGAACGCTGTATCCCTGCACGCGAATCCCTCACTAACTCTCATTGCCTAGAGGAGCAGTCGGCCTTTCCTTCCTCTCCGGATGTTAGGAGCTGAAGCTGTGTTCCAAGTTGTTCTAGGGAAAGTTTCCTTTAGGCAGTGTTGCCTAGTGGATGGAGCATTAGACGAGATCAGGGTTCTATTTCCAGCTTTGCCACTGGCCTGCTGGGAGACCAAAGGCAAGTCATGTCACCGCTTTGTGCCTCAGTTTCCCCATCTGTAAAATGGAGGTAATGATACTGTCCTCCTTTGTAAAGTGCTTTGAGATAGATCTATGGATGTAAAACACTATAGGAGAGCAAGATAGTATTATTATTGTAGAATGGGTATCCAACATGGGGTTTGAACCCCACTAGACCTTAGACATTCAGGGTGAGGTTCCCTAGGGGAGGTTCGCATGTAACCCATACTAGGAGTATGTGGGTTATTTTCCACATTTCATGCCTGAATCACGTAAGAGGTTTATGAGTCTGCTACGGCTTCCCGCTGTGGTGTTTTTAGTCTGTTCGTGTAAGCGATAGAGGATCATGCTTTTAGCACTGAAGGTTCTGGGTTCAAATCCTGCAGACTGCCCCAAGCAGATCCAGCCACATACAACATTCCGCACCATGATGTAGATTTAGGGTCTTCCCATGGCTTGTTGGTAACTCTGCGGCACTCTTCTGAGTTTAAGGTTTCCTTTCCTTCCAGAAACGAAGGCTGAGATTGTCAGAGCTGCCTGAGGAAAGTGAGTCAAGCTCCCATGAAAATGAAATGGAATGAGGTACCCAGATCGCCTAGGTGCCTTGTAGAAGCTCAGCCTCTGTTTTAAAGCCTTTTGGTGGTGATGAAACCCTGGAATGTCAATGGGTGCTTTTGATTAGGACTGAGAGGCGGTAAAGGAAGCCTGCACTCTGCCTCACCGTAGACAGCTCTGTAAATCCCTTGCTTTCAAATTTAATTCCAGATTTAGGCAGGGCAGAAGAGATGTGAGAGACGTCTTCTCTGTGTCAGCATTCATTTCCTTTCTGCTAAGCTGATTTATTTCTGCCTGGTTGGGCAGGTCTGCATCTCTGGGCGATAATGTTGTGTTCACACATAGATCTGGTGTGATAATATTGCCCTGGGTTTGATAAGGTTGTGTCTGCAAAGCTGCCTAGCTTGGTAATGCTCCATACCCACCTGCACCTGGCATAATGACACGGCGTCTGCACCCAGCGCAGTAACGCAGTACCCATGTGCATGTGACAGAAGTGATAATGCTTCATGTATATTGTTCTCTTTTCTTGCGTAACAGATGTCACATCCAGACAATTGAAGACTATGCTTTTGAGGATCTTCCTAACTTGCTCACCTTGATTCTGACTGCAAATCCCCTCTGGCACCTGGGACCAAAAGCCTTCTATAGTTTGACATCCCTGCAGAAGCTGGTAGCTGTGGAAGACAACATATCCTCGCTAGCTGACCTGCCCATTGGACATTTACATACTCTGCAGGAGCTGAATGTGGCCACGAACAATGTAGACTCTTTGAAGCTCCCCAAATATTTCTCCAACCTGACGTTTCTCCGATTCCTGAGCCTTCAATCGAACAAGATCTCATCTATCTCCATAGGAGACCTGGATGTTTTGCAAGGAGAGAAGGGGCTCAACCTAACATTAGTGCTGTCTAGCAATGATATAAAATATATTCAGCCAGGCTCCTTTGAGGGGATTCATCTTCATGAGCTGTCTCTGAGGGCTTGTTTTGAGAACACCAATGTTATGAAGGCTTGCATCCAAGGCCTTGCTGGCTTACAGGTCCACAGACTAGTGCTTGGAGAGTTCAGGAACATTCAGAGAGTGGAGGACTTCAGTAATGGGCTCCTGGATGGACTGTGTCTGGTGCAGCTGCAGGAGTTTGTGTTCATTTGCTTCAAGAGGTTTAATAATGGCACAGACACTCTCTTCGACTGCCTGGGCAACACCTCCACTGTTCGGCTGGTGGATCTCTACCTCGACCAGGTGTCAGCAGTCCCGACTGCCTCCAGAATACACCAGCTGGAATGCAAGACCTGCAAGTTCAGTGAGGTGCCTGCCCTGAAGCTGTCCTCCTTCAAAGAGCTGAGACTGCTTCGGATCACCAAGAGCAAATACCTCACTGGCTTCCAGCAGAAATTTGTGGATCTGGATAACCTGGAGGTCCTGGATCTGAGTGAGAACCGGCTCAGCTTCATCAAATGCTGCTCCTTTCACCTGGGTGGGACTCCAAAGTTGAAGCACTTGAACTTGAGCTTCAACTCCATAATCAGCGTATCCGGAGGCTTGCCGCTCCATGAGCTGGTATCTCTGGACTTTCAGCACTCAAAGCTGGATAATCTTGGCACTGTCCCTGTCTTCGTCTCCCTTGGGAAACTCATCTACCTTGATATTTCCTACACCAACACTCACGTCGAGTCCCAGTATGTGTTCTGTGGCTTAGCGTCCCTGCAAGTGCTCAAGATGGCCGGCAACTCCTTTAAGGACAACAACCTGGGCGACAGCTTCAAGAACCTGACCCAGCTGCTCACCCTGGATGTTTCCAGCTGTAAAGTGATACAGGTGTCTCTGAGCACATTTTCTTCCCTTGGTAAATTGCAGACGCTAAACATCAGTCACAACAAGTTGCTGACTTTTGACCACCCAGCCTACAAGCCTCTCCAGGCCCTCACTGTCCTGGACTTTAGCAGCAACCAGCTGACTGTCTTGACAGAAAACGCTCAGGAGAGCCTGCCGAGCAGCTTGGTCCACCTGGACCTCTCTTACAACCTGTTCATCTGCTCCTGCAACCACCTGAGTTTCCTGAAGTGGGCCCAGGAGCACGGGGAGCTTCTCCGGAGCACCGAGCTGATGGTCTGCATCAGCCCTGAGCATCTGAAGAATGCGAGTGTGCTGAACTTTGACCTCTCCTCCTGCCAACTCAGTGCCGTTCTGGTGGCCGTCTATGTGGGCACGGCCCTCGCCGGAGCTGTGTTCTTGTTCCTCATTTACAAATACTACTTCAACCTGTACTACGGGCTGGTGCTGCTCAGCGGGTGCAGGCGGTACGCGGACAGGGGCGACACCTACGACGCCTTTGTCATCCACTCCAGCAAGGACATTGAGTGGGTGAGAAAGGAGCTGGTTGAGACCTTGGAGCGGGGAGTGCCCCCCTTCCACCTCTGCCTCCACTACCGGGACTTCACGCCAGGGGTGCCCATCGCCTCCAACATCATCCACGAAGGCTTCCTGAGCAGCAGGAAAGTCATCGCCGTCATCTCCAACCACTTCATGGAGAGCAAGTGGTGCAGCTTTGAGTTTGAGATCGCCCAGTCCTGGCAGTTCATGGAGGGCAGAGCTGGCATCATCCTGATTGTCCTGGAGGAAGTGGATAAGGTGCTGCTGAGGCGTAAGCTGGGGCTGTCCCGCTACCTGAAGAGGAACACCTACCTCGAGTGGAAGGACAGGGAAATAAGCAGGCACCTCTTCTGGAGGCAGCTGAGAACGGCCTTGCTAGATGGCAAAACAGAACCAGGAAGGGGGGGAAACTAATGGGAACCAACGATGATGGTGCGTCCCCGTTCCTTGCTCTCTCTGCCTGGCCCTGACTGAAAGCTGGGATTGAGGAGCTAAGTCTCCAGGAGTTGTTTCCTTTGGAGCTGGAGGAATTTAATTCTCCTGAAGTACGAGAGTGGGGAACCAGCGAAACCCTAGGCCAGGGGTGGACAAACGTTTTGGCCCAAGGGCCACATCTGGGTATGGAAATTGTATGGTGGGCCATGAATGCCCATGAAATTGGGGGTTGGGGTGTGGCTGGGGGTGAGGGCTCTGGCTGGAGGATGTGGGTTCTGGGGTGGTGCCAGAAATGAGTTCAGGGTGCAGAAAGGGGCTCTGGGCTGGGGCAGGAGTGTGGGTGTGGAGGTGAGCTCTGGGGTGCAGGAGGGTGGGACGGAGGGGTTCAGAGGGCGAGAGGAGGATCAGGGATGGGGAAGGGGTTGGGGCACGGGAGAGGGTCAAGGGTGCAGGCTCTGGGCGGCACTTACCTCAAGCAACTCCTGGAAGCAGCAGCATGTCCCCCCTTTGGTTCCTACGCGGAGGCGCGGCCAGGCAGCTCTGCGTGCTGCCTCGTCCGCAGGTGCCGCCCCTGCTGCTCCCATTCACCCAGTTTGCTGGCCAATGGGAGCTGCGGGGGTGGTGCTTGGGGCAGGGGCAGCGTGTGGAGACCCCTGGCTGCCCCTACGCATAGGAACTAGAGGGGGGATGTGCTGCTGCTTCTGGGAGCCTCGTGGAGCAAGCCCCCGACCCTGCTCTCCGGCAGGAGCTCGAGGGCTGGATTCAAACATCTGAAGGGCCGGATGCAGCCCCCAGGCCATAGTTTGCCCTCCCCTGCTCTAGGCCCTTTGTTCAGCAGCCTCCTCTAAGGGAGAGCTTGCGAACTAAGGTGTCAGGTGCAGCTGGGATGCTTCCACATGGACAGGCTGGCCTGACGGCCATCTGTGGCTGCAGCCGTTCCAAGCTGGTCTGGCCTGGGGATGAGAGGCAACAACACGGAGGTAGTGCTTTCATAAGGGGGCGCTCTTGCCTGGGACTCAGTCCTGAGCCACTGTCCACTCACAGTGTTATGGGCAGGGGGCAAATATGCTCTTTTGAGGTATTGGCCCTGATCCCCCAAGAGTGGCAGCTGCAGAGTGTTGGTGGTAGCTCTCCGGTCCAAGCCACCTGGCCCCAGCAGAAGGTAGGGCCTCAGGGGGGCTGCTCTTACTTCCACCGCTGGCGTAACGGGCCTTACCCCAGTGGAAGATCAGAAATAACAGATCTCTGATCTACCTGGTCTTGATACACCCTCTCCTCCCCGGTATGCTGGGGCAGCGGAGGTGTGACTGGGACAGGAAGTGAGCTCTCTGCCATCGATGTCACTGCTCAGCCCAGTTCTGAATTTGGCTTTGGGAACCAGACACATCGATGTAGGAATCACTGTCCAGCGTTCCACTGTTCAGTTATACGGGGTGGATCCTTGTTCGGGAAGTTTTGCCTTTCGTTCAGCGGGAGCGACTTTGACCTTTAGTATAATGCTGTAGCGGAGCCTAGGCCTGTAACAAATGAGAGAAAGAGGAGAGGTGCATAGCTGAATGCAATGGAGAACTGTTGGGAGAATTAGGGGCCAGCAAAACATCCAGCCCCCTGCTTGACTAGGTATGATGGTGGAGCTCTTGGGACATGTGTTACACAATGGGATCTTGCTCGTTGTACAGCTGGATGGAAGGCTTTGGGTGTGAATCTGAGAGTCAGTCCAGTTTGACTATGGTGTAACCCTGCTGAAATCTGTGACGGTATCCCAGCATACACTTGGTGGGGTCCTGTGAGCAATCAGGTCTACCATTTAGTCAAAATGATGGCCTGATTCTGATCTTCCTCAGGTGGAAATCAAAAGGAATATTCCTGCTGAAGCCAGCTGTGAGGGAGATCAGACTCAAGTCTTATATTTGCAGAAGCCTGCTCCCAGGGAGGACCCAGTCTCAGTGGGTGGCTTGTGCCGGCATAAGCCCAATTCACTTTACCTCCCAATGTGCAGTATCACTACTCACTGGTGACACAGTCACCTCTCTAGTGTCTTTGCGTTTCAAGAGAGGAACTGTGTGCAAAAGACGCTAATAAAACTGGACTCACGCTGCATTTGCATCCTGCAGTGAGTTTGTCTCCATTTTGCATTTGCTAAGTACTGTTGCAGTCATTTCCAGAGTGCTGTGTCTCTTACTTCAGGCATGACCAACCTTCTGGGAGCACTGCGCCTTGTCAAACAAACCCTGTCTCCTCGCCGTGGGGGAAAGGCACGGGAAGCCAGAGGAAGGATTTCAAGGTGCAGTGATCAAGGGCATTTCTCAAGGTTTCTTGGTTCAAGGCTAAAGAAGAGCGCAGAGGACAAAGTAAATATAAGTCTGGTTTTCAGCAGCTACAATTTAAATTAGAAAATGAAAGGGGACAAATCAAATGGCGTGGGAGTTACTGCTCCTGAATTGAACGGCACTGAAGCTGCAGGTCTCCCTATGTCTCTTCTACAAACAATTCACAGGGTAACTGTATTGCAGGTACAAATCACAGTGTCCTATGATTCTTGATTATAATTATAATGATGGGTTTCGGAAAGCCGGCAAGTGGTCCAGGGAATGATAATAAGGGTGTAGGACAGACGTGTTGTTTCGACGGTGAGCATTTGTTGGATATCGAGCCAAGTTAGGCAGAATAGTTGCTGGGGGTGTGCTTGTCAGAACCTCCCAGATCCACAATTTAAAGGCAGGCCAGTTGACTGCCACTCCCCTCCGCTCCAGACACGCGGCATCGCCCACACAGACTCAGCTATGGACGTGGCCCTAGGATACCCCAGTTAGATTGTCCTGCTGGCTGTGAGCGTGTGTGAAAGCCATCATTGCTTCTGGAAGGGGTAAGCAGACAGAAAAGGCTAGGGGCTGGAGACAGGCTGGGGCTCTCCAGAGCTCTCTGAGCATTCGAGACAGCGTCACACACACGTTTGAGGGTTTGTTTGATTTTGTTTGTTTTGTTTTGTTTTTGCAAGTTGGAAAATTGTCTATCCCCTCTCAGTAAACGTGACTGCTGTCTGTAGTATCACATGGCTTCAGTAGTGCTGGGCTTCTAAGAACGTGGAAAATTCATTTCCCATGTTGCAGAGCCGAGGAGACAGTAGACCCTGGTGTATGGTAGCTGCTTCTCAGTGTCTGGAGTGAATATCAATTCTGGGGGATCACAGGTTTTTTTTTTTATGGGGAATAGCAGTGCTGATAGGTCGGGGAGCCGGTCGGGCTAGCGACATGAGCTTCCCTGGAGAGACTCCTGATAGCAAGCAAAGGTTTCCAGCTCATCCACTGCAAATGCACTAAGCAACTTGCAGAGTGTGGTCCAGAGAATAGCATACAAAGAAGAGCTGGTCAGGGATCAGCAGAGCAGGGACTGAACGTGGGTCTCCTACATCCTGGGTCTCCTACAGCCTCCTACATCTCTTTTTTCTCCCTGTACCCTTTTCCAGGCAAGCAGCCAGAAGGACCTGGGGTCCCTGCTGAAGCCACAACAAGGACGAGTTAATTTTGCTTTGCTTCTCCCAGAGCAGCTCCAGCTTTGCCTATACTCCTGGTGCATCTCATGAGAATGGAGGAGAAGACAGTCCTGCTAGCCCTGCAGTGCCCGTCCCATCACCCAGAAAGTATTTTGTGCTTGTGGCACTTGGGCAGGAAAGGCTGCCCATCCCTGTGCTAGATGGTGCAAATAATTGGTGATGCGCTGGTTACAGAGCTGACCATGGACCCTTGAAGGCAACAGGAGCTTTGCCATTTACTTCAGTGGGTGCAGGGTCAGGTGCTGAGTTCCCATAGTGTTTCCCATTGAACCTAGGTTTTTGGGTCTCATCTCTAGACAAGTGCACACACCTACTGTGGACCAGCAAAGCCACTGTTTGCATGGTAGAGTTCTCTCTCTCTCTCTCACACACCCACACACCCACCCACAAACACACGCACAAATTTGGGTTGTCTCCCAAAGGACTATATTGCCCATGTATCCAAAGGAAGTGGCAAAAAATAGTTTGGCAGGCCTGACCCCCAAAATGCTAAGGCCAGCTTGGGCTGTGCCAATCAACAATGCACAGTCAACCTGTGGAACTCTTTGCCAGAGGATGTTGTGAAGGCCAAGACTATAACAGGGTTCAAAAAAGAACTAGATAAATTCATGGAGGATAGGTCCAACAATTGTTATTAGCCAAGATGGGCAGGGATGGTGTCCCTAGCTTCTGTTTGCCAGAAGCTGGGAATGGGTGACAGGGGATGGATCACTTGATGATTACCTGTTCTGTTCATTCCCTCTGGGGCTTCTGGCATTGGCCACTGTCAGAAGTCAGGATACTGGGCTAGATGGACCTTTGGTCTGACCCAGTATGGCCATTCTTATGTTCTAATCATCACTGGGAAGGTGATTTCTCTAGCAAGATCTCGGATTTGAGCCAGGCCCTTGCCATCATGAAATATTTGTGATCTCCAGGCTGTAGGAGAGAAGTTACACAATAAGAATCCCATTGCCTTGAGACCAGCCTTGGCTCTGGCTGGCTGCAGGAGCAGCGCAGGGCGAATGGTCCTTCATGCCGATTTATCCTTTGAATTCCCAGTGCCTTAGCAAAGCCCACCTTTCAGGCTGTCCTGCTGTGGCCCCAGAGCATGAGGACGACCCTCTGGGCAGACTGTTAAGAAAGCAGGACACAAACCCCAAATTGGGTGTGAATTCTATACTTACATTTCACCACCCAATTATCAAGTGTAAACTTCTCGGGCACTATAACAGCCTGAACAAGGCATCAGAGACAGTCCCTTGGGTATTCCGATCTGTCTCGCCGCCTGCGTAAGCTTATCTTTGTGATAGATGGTCCCTTACACCACGAATCGCAGCAATATTCAGGTTACTCCCAGTCCCAAAGGCCCAGTCACTTACCCAAGGCCAATTGCAGCTTAGATCTCACACCAAATGCTTGTAGCCAATCCTATAATAAACTATTTACAGATTTATTAATAGGAAAAGGAAATGAGAGTGATTTACAAGGTTCAAGCAGGTAAACATACGCACACAAATGAGTTCCGATCTTAAGTTTCTAAAAGTAACAGAAGCTTCTATAATGATCAAGCTGTATATGTCCTTGAGGGCTAACCCAATCTAAACACTAGAGATCTTTTGCTTATGCCTAGTAATCTGTCTGCTTGAATCCAAGCCACATAAAGATAGAGGTCCTCTTTGTTGGGTG